CCTTATTCCTTCCAGGAAACGGGGATTGGTTTGAGTTTTTCTGAATCACAAAACCCAAGAGGATTCATTACACGAGTCTTGTCCTGAGAACTCATGAAAAACAAGTCTCAGGGCTGGACTTTCCAGTTATTGCCGGCAGCTTCCCAGGTCCTGAGCTGTGGCCCTGGGGTTGTGGGTGCTTTTCGTACATACCAGGGTCAGGAATACTAAAGCTTCATCTACCTAAAGTGTAGGAATCTCCTGTTTTTCAAGGAGTTAAAACGGAACTGGAAGATTTTTTTTTCTCCTTGTCTCTTGACAAATTTCAGGATATCTGCTGGACCCAGTGGCTCATGCCTGGAATCCCAGTGCTTTGGGAGGTTGAGGCAGGTGGATCACATGAGGCTGGGAGTTCGAGACTAGCCTGGCCAACATGGGGAAACCCCCGTCTCTACTAAAAACACAAAAGTTAGCCAGGCATGGTGGCGGACACCTGTAATCCCAGCTACTTGGGAGGTTGAGACATGAAAATTACTTGAACCCAGGAGGTGGAGGTTGCAGTGAGCCAAGATTGTGCCAGTGTACTCCAGCCTGGGCGACAGAATAAGACTCTGTCTCAAAAAAAAAAAATCAGGATATCATTCATTCCCTGTTCTCAGGAGGAATGAAATGTAGAGTGCTGTATGTGTAATACTCTTGTGGGGGTCCCAGAAAGGAGGCAAAAGACTAGAAAAGACTAGGTAGTACTGGAAAGATGTTTTATGATGGCCCTACTAGGGAAGTAGAAATGCAACATGTGTTGGGTGCTGAGAGGAGGGGGCTGTGGCCTGTGACAAGTGTGAGAAAACCCAGCCCAACACCGAACGTAGGAAATTCATCCTTTTGCTAACATGCCAATTCCTCTGACCTTGATCCTGGAATTTTTTTGGAACAAGGGGCACCAAGTCACAAATCAAGGCCCCACTTGGCAATGATCAAGGCCTACTTTGAGCTCAGAGCCCTTACACCTCTGCTGAATCCAGGGAGGACATTCACCTACCCGCTCACAGGCGTCAGCGGCCCTGCCTTTGGCTGTGTCAGTCCCCACGGAGACCCACCATGACACATGGCAAGCAGGGGAAGACGGTAGTCAGGGAAGGCGACAGAGTTCTCAGAAGTGGAGTCCAGAAGTCGCAGAATGTTGCACATTGTTAGGATCTGAATGTGTCCCCAAATTCCATGTGCTGGAAATTTAATTCCCCAAGTGGTAATATGGAGAAACGAGGCCTTTCAGAGGTGATTGGTTATGGTGGCCCTGCTCTCAGGGATGGATGGATTCATCCACGGACTAATGGGTTCATGGATCAATGGATTATCATGGAAGTGGGACTAGTAGCTTTATATAAGAGGTGCCAGGTGCAGTGGCTCAGTCCTGTAATCCCAGCACTTTGGGAGGCTGAAGCAGGTGGATCACTTGAGATCAGGAGTTCAAGACCAGCCTGGGCAACATGGTGAAACGCCATCTCTACTAAAAATGCAAAAATTAACCAGGCATGGTGGCAGATGCCTGTAATCCTAGCTACTTGGGAGGCTGAGACAGGAGAATTGCTTCAACCTGGGAGGCAGAGGTTGCAGTGAGCCAAGATCGCAACACTACCCTCCAGCCTAGGCAACAAAGTGATACCCCATCTCAAAAAAAAAAAAAAAAGAGGAAGACACATCTGAGCACCCTAGCACCTTCAGCCCCCCTGACCACCTTGGGATTCTGCGGAGAACCTCCACCAGCAAGAAGGCCCTCAACCAGATGCAGCCCCTTGACCTTGGACTTCCCAGCCTTCCAAACAGTAAGAAATAAATTCCTTTTCTTTATCAATAACCCAGTTTCAGATATTCTGTTATAAGCAACAGAAACTAAGACACACATAAACATCCCTCCCTGCCCACGTTACCTCAGAATTTTTCAGGGAGAGGGATTCTAGGAAATGCAGTTACAGTTCATCAGAGCTGCAAACCCACACAGGCCAAGTCACTGAACTCTGCCGGGTCCCCATGGGACAGCCATGGCTACCTGACTGGGAGGCCTTCATGTTTTAATACATAGAGAAGCACCACTAACCAGCAAAAAATATCGCCTTCTTTCTGCCATCCCCCACCCACTCTCCTGAGGGAGACAGGAGGAGCCTCTCTAGGCTACTGGAAATGCTTCAGAAAACTGATTGGAAGGGAAGGAATTAATGGAAAGGGATGGCACAGATTCAGGGCTTGTAGGGCTGGTGTATAAAATATATGGAGCCCCCTTTATAAACAAATACACAACTCAGTGTAAAATTAGGCACGAAAGTATTTCCTTTGTGTGTGTGTGTGAAGGAGTGTTAATTCTGTCACCCAGGCTGGAGTGCAGTAGTGCAATCTCAGCTCACTGCAACCTCCACTTCCCAAGTTCAGGCAACTCTCATGCATCAGCCTCTCAAATAGTTGGGATTACAGGCACCTGCCACCATGCCTGGCTAGTTTTTGTGTTTTTAGTGGAGATGGAGTTTCACCATGTTGGCCAGGCTGATCTTGAACTCCTGATCTCAGGTGATCCACCTGCTTCAGCCTCCCAAAGTGCTGGGATTACAGGTATGAGCCACTGCATCTGACCAAAAGTATTTCTTTAGAATGAGAAAACAAAGAGGTTACAATTTTTTTTTTTTCTTTTTTAGATAGAGTCTTGCTCTGTGGTTCAGGCTAGAGTACAGTGGTATGATCTCAGCTCACTGCAACCTCCACCTCATGGGGTTAAGCGAGTCTCCTGTTTTAGCCTCCTGAGTAGTTGGGATTATGGGCGGGCACCAACACACCTAGCTAATTTTTGTATTTTTAGTAGAGACAGGGTTTCACCATGTTGGCCAGCCTCTTCTTGAACTCCTGACCTCAGGTGATTCATCCACCTCACTCTCCCAAAGCACTGGGATTGCAGGCATGAGCCACCGCACTTGATCTGCTTACAAATTTTTTTAAAGCTGCCAAACACCGCTAACATCACAAGATCCAGAAAAGCAAAACACTGTCTGTATTGGTTAACTGCCTGATACACTTCCACAGTACTCTTTACTTACAATTTTTTTTACTGTGACATCTTTGCCTCTATAAATGACAAGCTTTTGCAATATTCTCTATGGAAATAAAGTTAATTCAGTCTTTCTTCTACCACAATTTATCAAAAGTTATTTCTTAATTATTGACAGTATAGAAAAGTTTCTTTAAACTTCACTATTTGTTGATCTATCTCTCTACGCCTATGCTATAAAATGTCAAGACATTACTGTAAATCTCACAGCTACTGCAACAGCACCCTACGTGAGTAGCACTCTGCAGGAAAACACTGTCGTACATTGGAAGAGGAAAAAAGAAGCCCAAAGTCCAAACAGTTGTGGGCAAAGTCTGTCACTTTGCAGATTTCACAAAAGCATATGACCATGTGAACACAGTGCCTTTCCATGGCCTGGGAAGAGGCCCCGCAAAGGAGGGCCACTGAAGATTAAGCTTTCAGTAGCTTCACAGTAAATCTGCCTCCAAAGGGGGGACTGCAGGAGGGCACTCACTTAGGAAGTTAGATGAAATCATGGAGGCATCACATGATGATGTGGAAGGGTGGACACAGATACAGACAAAGAGCCCGGGATGCTAGATGCCCTTCACATGAAACACCAATAGCTTCGGTTTCCTGTTTTCCTCAGATTGGAGATCTCAGTAGAAGAGTCAGCTGCAGATGACTTCAGGAGTCACTCAGCCAGGAGGAGCAGAAAAATGTAAATGCAACCCCTGAGAACTGACCTTTCCAAGGCAAGTTGCTTTAGGGCTTTTGCAACTACTTGCAATTGGGATACTGAATGCTCGACCTTGGCTTTAGTGTGGCTACCTCTGAACACTCTACCTCAAAGGAGGAGGTTGCAGCCCTTCCTGGCCTTAGTGTAATCAGGCAGCTTAACCTCAAAACGCCTTTTAAAACTTTTTTCCTTTCCCTTGGGTTTCAAATATGTAATTTTTTTTTAGACAGTCTTGCTCTGCTGCCCAGGCTGGAGTGCAGTAGTGCAATTTCGGCTCACTGCAACCTCCACCTTCCAGGTTCAAGCAATTCTCCTGCCTCGGCCTCCCAATTAGCTAGGATTACACCACGCCTGGCTAATTTCTGTATTTTTAGTAGAGACGAGGTTTCACTATGTTAGCCAAGCTGGTCTTGAACTCCTGACCTCAGGTAATACACCTGCCTCAGCCTCCCAAAGTGCTGGGATTACAGGTGTGAGCCACCGCGCCCAGCCTCAGTGCATCGTTTTTGAAGTGATTCCAACTGATAGCCTGCTTTTTTCACATAACACATATATACATTTCTCTGTTTCGAAATACCCAATGCATAATTCAGTTGTCTGCTAGGTATTTCATCACATATTTTTAAGAGCATGGCCAATTTCAAAAGAATTCTACAAAGAGGAAATACAAGAAGGCGGAAAGAGCAAAAGAAACACTCCAGGTTGCAAAGCCCATTTTTGCTAATGCATCCAGTGGGCTCCCGGGACGACCTGTTTTTAAACTCTTGGCCTCCCTGCACCATGTCCCTCCTTTGCTGCGCTGGTTTTGTGATGCATTTTGGAAGAACAGGGCAGATTTAAAACCCTCTCCCAACAGGCGTCAAACTGGACATAGCTGCCAAGGGACTTCCTCCTAGTGCACCGCGGCAGGCTCCACGGCAAACCCCACGCCGTTACGAAACGCTGGAAGTTTCTGTCTCTCCCTCCCCCGGCTCTGGAAGTTTCTGTCTCTCCCTCCCCCGGCTCTGGAAGTTTCTGTCTCTCCCTCCCCTGGCTCGGAACCCTTTCCCCCCTAGTGCCCCACCCACTCCTTCACTGGGCCCTAACTCCTTCCCCTTAAAACCCTTTTCAAAAGGGGGTTGACGGGAGGTGGGAGCTGTAGAGAGCCGAGATCGTGCCACTTCAGCCTGGCGATAGGGCGAGACCCCCTCCCAAAAATAAAAAAAGGAGGGTTGAAAGCTTAATACGTACTTTGGGGCCATTAAAGCAAACATTTTGTCCAAAGGGGCGAATCCTCAGATTGTGCGATCAGGCACCTGAGTGGCGGGAGAGGAGAGTGAGGTGGGGACAGGAGGGGTGGGGGCTCCAGGAAACGCCCGGGGGTCTGGGCCGGGGTCTCGAAGGTCCCCTCCGAAGGGATCGCGTCACCCAAAGGTGGGCGTCCTGCGTGGCTCGTCTCCAGGACGTTTCGGGAGGCTCCGGGCTCCGGGAGGCTGGCTGCTTGCGGTCCCCGCGCAGCGGCCTCAGAGGCCCCCAGGGCCGCGGTTCCTGGAGCGGGAAAGTCCCGCGCGGGGGCGGGGGGCCTTGGGGGAGGGGCAGGGGCGCGGGGGAGGGGCAGGGGCGGGCTGGGGGCGGGCTGGGTGCGGGCGGCCGAGCCGGGTCTCCTCCGCCGAGACGCGCCGCCGCTGCTCGGGAAGAGGCGGGTCTTGCGCGCACTGCGCTCGCCATGGCGGCCCGGGTGGCGACGTGAGCGGCTCTGCGGACCCCGAGCGGGGCCCCGGCCGCGCCCTGAGCCGCCGCCGAGCGCCCAGGGCCATGCGGCCGACGCGGCTGTGGTCTCTGCTGCTGCTGCTGTTGCTGCTGCTCGGAGCCTGCGCCGCGGCCGAAGTGCTCGGGTCAGGTAAGCCGGGCCTGGGCCTCGGCGGCGGGACGCGGGCGCAGCCGCTGCGTATGGGGGGTGGGGGAATCTGCGGGGTGCTCAGATCGGGTGGGAAACTTACGGGTTCCCCGGGTGGGTCTGTGGGGTGCCAAGATCAAGAGGGGCCCGGGGAGCCCTCAGCAGGGCTGGGGTGGGCGGCCAGGAGCTGGGCAGGAGCTGAAAGACTGGGGTGCACCCCTACCGGCGTCCTGGCCGCCGGGACACCCCTCTCCAGGAGGGGACAATCGCTGCCCCTCCGTGAAGCCGGCACCCTCGGCTGCGCCGCCTCCTCCACCCGCGCCGGGAAAGCCAGCGTGGCCCAAGTCTCCGAATTTCTCAGAATGAACAACGGCAGATTGAATCCGGGGCTCGGGCAGGGGCCGTCTCTGCAGGCCACGGTTTCTGCAGCATGGCCGGACCGCGCTTTGTCCCCGCCTGGAGCGCCTCCCGGGGGCCTGGCTGAAAGCTGGACTCACTCCCTTTGTAGAGGCAGAGATGGAGCAGGGACCAGCGTCTTCGACCAGCGACCCAGACTCAATTCCGACTTTGGCCGGGTACATGTTTGACCCTGGGTGTGAAATCCACACAGTTCCCGCGGTCATGGAGACGGGGCAGCAGCATTCAGGCAGGGCCCAGAACTGTCCGGGTCCCTTCAGTGTTGGGGTGGAGGAGGAAGTGTCAACGGAGCCAGGCTTTTATTTACTTATTTATTTATTTTATTACTCTTTAAGACAGGGTGTCGATCTGTCGCCCAGGCTGGGGTGCAAGTGACCGTCTCAGCTACTGCATCCTCCACCTCCTGTCCTCAAGCGATCCTCCCACCTCAGCTTCCTGAGGAGGTGGGATTATTGTCCACACCTGGGCAAATGTTTGTTTTGTTTTGTTTTATTTTGTTATTTGTAGAGAGGAAGAGGCCTCGAGATGTTGCCCAGACTGGTCTTAAACTCCTGGGCTCCAGCAATCCGCCAGCCTCGGCGTCTGAAAGTGCTGGAGTTAAGGCTTGAGGCACCATACAATACTGAATCAGGCTTTTAAAACCGGCTCTCTCCCCACCCAGAGGACTTGTTACCTGGTGGCCTCCTTAACCTCTGACACCAATTGACCAGGCTTATGAGCCAAACATCAAAACCAAAAGAAGATCGTGCGCAGTGGCTCACGGCAGAGGTATGGTGATGCACTCCTGTAATCCCAGCTACTCGGAAGGCTGAGGAAGGAGAATCACTTGAACCCGGGAGGTAGAGGTTGCAGTGAGCTGAGACTGTACTCCAGCCTGCAAGACGGGAGCAAGACTCCATCTCAAAAAAAAAAAAAAGTTTTGGTCTGTGGCCAAAGAAAACAAACAAAAAACTGACTGCAGGCATTGTGGCTCACGCCTGTAATCCCAGCACTTTGGGAGCCCGAGGCGGGCGGATCATGAGGTCAGGAGTTCTAGACCAGCCTGGCCAACGTGTTGAAACCCCGTTTCTACTAAAAAATACAAAAATTAGCCAGGCGTGGTGGCGCATTCCTGTAGTCCCAGTTACTCAGGAGGCTGAGGCAGGAGAATCGCTTGAACTTGGGAGGTGGAGATTGCAGTGAGCCGAAGTCGTGCCACTACACTCCAGCCTGGGTGACAGAGTAAGACACTGTCTCACAAAAAAGAAAGAAAAGCAGGGAAAAGACCGTAATGACAAAGGTGTAGGGAGAACATTGCTGTGTGTGTCTCTGTGTTTGTTTTGCTGGGTTCTTTCCCGTGGGGAGAGTGACAGGTTGGACAGACCCGAAACTGTCTTGAGAACTTTAAAGATTCTTCCCATTCGAAGCTGTAACATGGTGTTGGGGGTTTGTTTCTTCTTCGGGCATTCCTTGCAAAGGCCCTTGGGTTCCATATTTCCTTGATCTGGGTTGCCTTGCACATGAGGAAATTATTAACTGATTTTCCATGGAAATCAGACCGATAGCTTCAAATCCTGACTACTTGGACCTGGCTTTAAGTCTTGAGCAACATGTGTATGTCCCTCCCTAGGCCTCCTTCTAATGAGAGTTGATGATTGCCCCAGTGTGGGATAGGCAGGCTGGTAACTTCATACCAGAGAGGAATGGCTAGTGGTGGTCTGTGGACTGTCTGTGAGTCAGCTGTGCTAAGTCCAGAGGTTGAGAGATTTATTTAAAATCTTTATAGTTGGACGTTGCCACAACATCCAGGTGCCTGTACATCTTGCTAATGATTAACTTTTATTGTATTCTACAAAAGTTTTGGTCTGGCCGGGCGTGGTGGCTCACGTCTGTAATTTTAGCACTTTGGGAGGCTGAGGCAGGTGGATCACCTGAGTTCAGGAGTTCAAGACAGCCTGGCCAACATGGTGAAACTCTTATATCTACTAAAAATAAAAAATTAGCCCAGGTGTGGTGATGCATGCCTGTAATCCCAGCTACTCGGGAGGCTGAGGAAGGAGAATCACTTGAACCCGGGAGATAGAGGTTGCAGTGAGCCGAGACTGCGCTCCAGTCTGCAAGATGGGAGCAAGGCTCCATTTCAAAAAAAAGTTTTGGTCTGTGTTGCCACCTGAGGTCAGGTTCAAGACCAGCCTGGCCAACGTGGTGAAACCCTGTCTCTACCAAAAATACAAAAATTAGCTGTGCATGGTGATGCATGCCTGTGGTTCCAGCTACTTGGGAGGCTGGGGCAGGAGAATCACTTGAATTTAGGAGGCAGACATGCAGTGAGCCGAGATCACGCCGCTGCACTCCAGCCTGTGTGACAAGAGCAAGACTCTGTCTCAAAAAAAAAAACACTTGGTTCCATTGATCCTTTGGAAATTAGTAGTAGCTGGGCTCAGTGGCACACACCTGTAATCCCAGCCCTTTGGGAGGCAGAGGTGGGCGGATCACCTGAGGTTGGAAGTTCCAGACCAGAGCAGCCTGGCCAACATGTTGAAAACCCCGTTTCTACTAAAGCTACAAAAATTAGCCAGGTATGGTGCTGGGCTCCCGTAATCCCAGCTATTCTGGAGGCTGAGGGAGGAGAATCGCCTTAACCTGGGAGGCAGAGATTGCAGTGAGCTGAGATCATGCCACTGCACTCCAGCTTGGATGGCAGAGAAAGACTCTGTCTCACAAAAAAAAAAAAAAGAGAGAAAAATGAAAAGAAAACTAGTAGCGCTTTAAACTAATCTCTATTTTGCAATTATTTGAACATTTTCATATTAAACAGCTTAAAAATAAACCCAATGGATGTTTTCAAGAGAAACCCTTTTTTAGTCAAAACACAAAGTGAAAATATTCACAATGATTATATGGCAAATGGGTGGCAGAAGGGTTTTCACACTTTCCCATAACTTACAGGTGTGATTATGAAATTGCTTTTATGGTCGGAGAAAAAAAAGAGTGTTGGAAACTTTTTTTTTTTTGAGACAGTATCTGTCTGTCACCCCAGCTGCAGTGCAGTGACATCATCACAGCTCACTGCAGCCTCAGCCTCGCGAGCTCAAGCCATCTTCCCACCCCAGCCTTCTGAGTGGCGCATGCCACCATACCTGACTAATTTTTGTATTTTTTGTAGAGATGGGGTTTCATCATGTTGCCCAAGCTGGTCTGGAACTCCTTGGGTCAAGAGATCCACGCGCCTCAGCCTCCCAAAGTGCTAGGATTGTAGAGGAGAGCCACCCAGCCTGACTCCAGAAGCACATTTTTTTTTTTTTTGAGACAGAGTCTCACTCCATTGCCAGGCACCAGGCTGGAGTGCAATGGCGCGATCTCAGCTCACCGCAACCTCCGCCTCCCGGGTTCAAGCAATTCTCCTGCCTCAGCCTCCCGAGTAGCTGGGATTACAGGTGCGCGCCACCACACCCAGCTAATTTTTGTATTTTTAGTAGAGACGAGGTTTCACCGTGTTGGCCAGGATGGTCTTGATTTCTTGACCTCCTGATCCACCCGCCTCGACCTCCCAAAGTGCTGGAATTGCAGGCATGAGCCACCATGCCCGGCCCAGAAGCACATTTTTAAAAGTGAAACATAGTATCTACCCTTAGAGTTGTTATAAGGATAGAATATATAAAATATGGGACCTAAGGCAATTTGTAGCCATGCCCTGTTAAGTAGTAGCTATGTGCTCTAGATAGAAAAATGTAACCAACAGCATAAACCTGCAATAAATCAACAGGTTGAGTGTTGAGGAATTGAGGCTTCTATTTGTAATTGTAGCAGCTGCTGCCGACTTCTTCAGGGAATAGGATATATACTGTGCCACAAAATTTTTTTTTTTTTTTTTTTGCGACGGAGTCTCTGTCACCAGGTTGGTGTGCAGTGGCACAATCTCAGTTTACTGCAACCTCTGCCTCTCAGGTTCAAGTGATTCTCCTGCCTCAGCCTCCCAAGTGGTTGGGACTACAGGCTCGTGCCACCACGTCCGGCTAGTTTTTTGTATTTTAGTAGAGACAGGGTTTCACCATGTTGACCAGGATGGTCTCAATCTCCTAACCTCGTGATCCACCACGGTCTCCCAAAGTGCTGGGATTGCAGGCGTGAGCCACCGTGTCCGGCTGTGACAGAATTTGTTATCATTATTTGCTGACTTGAACATCCAAAGCTTCTCATATGCCTAGAGACCACCGAGAAAGAC